TTGGAAAAAAACTACGTGAGCTAAATTTAGTTTCGATCATACCTTCTGTTATCTGTTATCTATATATTAATACGCCAACGAAATCCCACACAAATCTATTCCTCCATACTGCTCTTATGTTTCTCAACCGATTTTGTTTGTTTGTTCGAAAGGTCTTTCAAAGAGGAGGTGGCGCAGGAGTAAATTTATTCCAAGAACTTTTAATTAAATATGGCCCGAGTTTCTTTAGATTCGAAGTATTATTAGAATTATGAGAAATATACCTGCGAAAAATGGACCCGTTAGCTGGCTCCAGAGCCGGCTTATTTCAATTTTCTTTAGTTTTACCATCTACTATATTATATATTAATACGATAACAAAATCTCATACAAATCTATTCCTCCCTACTGCTGCTATGTTTTCCGACTATTAGAATAAATGTGTATTTATCCGTTAGAACCAGATAGGACAAATGACCACCCTCCTGTTGTTGAAATTTTTCCTTAACTTATTGGATATTGCGAGCCGTTAAGTCGAATAAGCATCCTCTCTTTCTAACGTGACGCAAGGCTTCTTTCGAAAACAAAAAACCCATTAAAAATAAGTGTTTTTCTTGTTTTTGAATTATCACACTAATGTGAATCTAATGAAAAAATCGAATATATAAAAATCTCGTGTGACGGTGTTTTTGGTCGACTCCTCCTAAACGACTCCACCGATCTTTATGAAATTTTTTGTGTATATATGGTAGGTAAGAGAATCGGATGTAAAGTATATTTCATACCGCTAGGTGCAGGGGGCGTAGCATCTCCCATACAAACCGAATTTTTCACACTGCATATGTCTGGAAGTGTTCATGATAGAGTACTGGAACTTGGTATGCATATATAAAATCAATCGCATAGTCATGAAAAAAATTGGGGCTATTGGAAAAAGGAGCGTGGCACTTCCCATACAAACCGAATTTTTCATACTGCATATCTCCGGAAGTGTTCATGGTAGAGTATTCGAACATGGTATGGAGATATATGAAATCAATCGCATAGTCATGAAAAAAATTGGGGCTATTGGAAAAAGGAGCGTGGCACTTCCCATACAAACCGAATTTTTCATACTGCATATCTCCGGAAGTGTTCATGGTAGAGTATTCGAACATGGTATGGAGATATAAGTATGAAATCAATCGCATAGAGAAAATTGGGGCTATGTGAAAACGGGGCGTGGCACCTTTCAAACGCACTGAAACTATTACGTATCTTTGTATGCATACACACTTTTTATTTAAGACGGAAATGGAAATATGCCTTCTGACAACCACCAAACCGTAAAATTGGAAGATAAATGTGTGTTGGTGTAAATGTTGCAATATAAAAAATTTATTTTGGGCGTAACGAAGTTCGCCGGGTCTGCTAGTTATTATATAAAATTATTTCGGAAGAGGGGTCATTCACAAAGTACAAGCCACGAGAAAGAGGTAGAGTGAAATTTCCATTTACTTTTTCTGCGTAAATTGCAAGAACTTACAAAAGAAAACCTAACCAATTTACAGAATTCTATTGTTGCGTCTACTTAACCTACAGAATTTTATTTATTTGTTTATCTATTTTATTCAGTTATGGAATACATAATTCTTACTAACTATGCCTTAATAATAAGCTCATACAAGATTGTAAAGTAATTTTTGCCAGGAAGCGAATATTGCTAACTTACTTACAAAACAATTCATTCCAAAGCAAATTACAGATTAGACGATTGCAGAAGCGCTAAGACCCTCAAGGAAAAACCAAAAATCAACTAATAGTTACTGAATTCTAACGGCGAGCTTCGCCATAATCTATGACCACTGTCAGAACCAAGACTCATCGAAGAAATGCGAGTGGTTTTGCGCTGGCCAATTTTCGTCTAAACATCTACATAGCTACTACTAAGCAAACCATCGACCGACATGTGATGAGTTTAGTACATTGGTGTGCGCCTGCTGAGTATTGCAACAGTAGCGCCGCAGGCGATGAATTGATTTTGTGATTTTATTTCGTTGTTTTAACTTTTTACTACAATTTTCGCTGTCTCTGTTGCTGCACTGCTGATGCTGTTTCAAAATTATTGCTCACACCATTATGCTTGAAATACAATACCGGCGAACGGCAAACTTCGCCGAATCGGGCGATGCTGTCGGTCACCGTTCGCCCAGCTATTTCGCCTACTTAAACAGAATTAGAGCGGTAGCGAAAACAGCTGATCCCATTTGGTCGCCTTTATAATTTGGGTGACCATATTTAGAAAAAACTAAACCATATTTAGAAATGAGGAAATGATAACAAATATAAATGTAAAACAAAGAAAGATTATTATAAATAATTTGTTTCAAGCCAGATTTAACGAATCCACAACTATATTTTTCAAACAAAAAAAAAATCGTGTTTAGGTTGTTTTCTGTTAAAACTTTGAAAGCAAAAAACAAATACGGCCACCTTTGCACGCACAGCTGTCGTCGCCCAGGAGGGCGATAGAAATAAATCTATCGCCATGAAACGCCGCCAAGCGAACTTCGCATTTCGCTTTGGCTGTGTTCAATTTCATATGCTTGCGGGTGTTCTAATTTTGACAGCGCGAATTTCGCTGTGGTGAGTTCGCCGTTCGCCGGCATTGTATTTCAGCTATAACGCGAGTCTGCGGCGCGCGCGGCACAAGCAATTGTCTCTGAGCTGGACTCATACACACAGAAAATGGGGAGACAGCCGCCGCGGCGATGGGCAATAGGCAAATTTTATGACCATTTGCAGGCAGTTTGTGAGTATCGATAGTTGTTTCTGCTGTTGTTGTTGTTATTGCGGCACAAATGAAGAATGTGGCGTGTAGGCAAATTCTGGAGCGTTTCCGCTTCAACAGGGCAAACGTGGCGAATGGGCGCTTACGTGTTTGTATTTGTGCTTAAATTTCGCGCGCACGTCCAAACACACACATAATCAGGCCAACAATTGGTAACCGCAGAAATTGGCCAACATTTTCTGGGTCCACATAGATCGCTACATTTTCAGTCTGAATGTTCTTGCTGCTACGGCTGCTGTTGTTGTAGCTGGTATTGGCGGACGCGCGCGTGCCTTCTTCATCATCCAGCACCACCGTTGCTAATGTTGGGTTGTGTTGCGGCTGTCAGATTGTCAGTTCGTCTTTTTTATCGCAACCAATTCAGGCACTTCCTCTTGCGCGCGAAGGCAGCTGCTCTTCTTCTGCAGCCGCGGCTGTTCAAACGCTTGTTGCAACTGCTGCTTCTAATGTATTGGCAATAGTTACTATGGCTGTAATCGACAGCCTTTGATTTTGCGAGTTGTTGACTGTATTGCTGGCGGTGGGTTGACTGGCCTGCTCGTCGCTGGGTCGACTTGTAGCTAAGGGCAACACGAGAGTAGGTTGGCGAAATGGGCCATTGATTGTTTCTTCGCATTTGTGGCAAATGTGCCACCACTAGCAGTTGCAAAGACAACAGCAACAACGGGAACTACAAAAACAAATGCTAACTGTAACAGCCGTAGCAGCTGCAACTTGGTCTGCTACTTTGCCCAGCTAATCACAGCGAAAACGTATTACAAATTTGGTGTTATTTTATTTCTATTTTGTATTTTCCGCTTTACGGCACGCTTGATTTTTTGTAGATGGACAAAACTAACAGAAATTCGCCCCATAGCCAGTTCAGCAGTTTGAAAGAGTTACTGAAGTTAAAAAAAAATATATATATAACTAAACTCTTCCAGAAGAAAACAAAAAACAAGTCTTAACCGTGATTTACGCGTGCTACTCTTGTTGTACCAACCACAAAATACGAGTAACAACTGCCACAATGACTATGTATCCTCGTTCGTCGATATATTTGTTGCAACACTGACAGCTGTCTATGTTTTTTCCGCACCATTACGACATGCCAGGATCCATACACCAAAGTTCAATTATTTGTTTAGTTCGTGTCGAAATCACACAAAAGTGAGAAGAGCTCAATATATTAGTAGCACTGGTTAAGACTCAGCACCCAGCGGCTGCAGAATGACAGATATTTGCAAATATTTAAAAGTTGATCTGAAATGCTTTCAAGGTATTTTGTTTATATAGTTAGATACATATGTTACACATTTAAGTTATGTTCGAATATGTCAGTGGTTGCTTAAGGGCGAGGTATGTCGCAATGGTCTGAAGGCGGATGGATGCATACATGCATCTGTGTGAGCATTTTGTATTTAGCATGAATTGTGATGGGTGATATGAAAGTATTTAGGTTTTGAAAGCATTATTCAGTAGATAGTAATTGATCTGAAATAAAACTAATAGTACGTATACGTTGAGCCATAAACTCGAGTTTATGGTCCATTTTGGAGTTTATTATTAAACAATACTCATAAACTCGGAGTTTACCATACAAACAATTTTCGTTAAACTCCCCTTAAACACATCTTTTATTAAGTGGCTATGGGAATGCAACCCTGTTTTTGCATAAATTTGGCAATGATGAATTTGGTATAAGTCCAAAATATCAACCCTTTAGCTAAAGTATACAAAAATCAAAAATTTAGCTCGATAGAATTTTCACGCTAATTTTAACCATACCACAATTTGGCGCAAGTAAAAAATAAATAAGATTTTTACATAAAGGTTAAAGTTAAATTTTTTCATTTTTGAAACTATTAATATCTTCTGAACTACATAACCCATTAAAAAACGAATGATGTCAAAATAAAGGTAACTAATCTATGTATAATTGCTCAGTCATACGACTTAGTTAGGGCGATCTGGAGTAGCTACATAATCGAATTATATACCAAATTTTGCACTTTAATTCGGTATATAATTCGATTATGTAGCTACTCCAGACGCCCTAACTAAGTCATATGACTGAGCAATTATATATAGATTAGTTACCTTTATTTTGACATCATTAGTTTTTTAATGGGTTATCCATAGGTTATCCAAAAGTTTCCAGATTTGAAATCGGTGCAGTAGGTAACAAACATTTTGTTGACTCATTCTCAACGTATCTATATATAATTGCTCAGTCATACGACTTGGTTAGGGCGATCTGAAGCAGTTAAAGAATTAAGTTATTCATCGAATTAAAGTGCAAGTTGCAGTTGCAGTTGACCGTATTTGTCACAAAAGTAAAACGTGGCAGAAAAGTCGACAGTGAGCAGTGTAATCTATTGAAAAATATTACCCAATTTTCCCTGGAATTGTGATTCTGATTTGTTGTTATTTATAGTTTTAAATTATATTTCGTGAAAGCAAAAAATAAAAACAGCTGAAATCACTTTCTTTTTTAAACCGCTAGGATATCACTGACAAATTTAAAGGACCCGGGTTGACGGTTACATTACATTTACATTGAGCCCAAATACGTTATTTGGGCGAGAAATCTGAAATGCGAAGCCAAATCACGCATTTCTCCATACAACTTCCCATTTCCAAAATGACGCATTTAAACAAAATCACGAAGCAAATGCATTCCAATTGCCGCACTATTTTATTGAACGCACTCAGAAACAAAAGTTCCACAAAAGCTTTGGTTTGTCTTTGACATTTGGAATTTTTCAAACACAAAACAAACACAACGAAATAAATAAATCTTTGAAATTTGTGTGTAAAAATTGTTAATTTATACAAGAGCTTTACACATTTTTAGTTTAATCAAAGAATAATTGCCTTTTTGTGTCCAAAAAGCGTTAACAATATAATAAATGTAGTGTTTGTTTACATACATTTTGTTTTTGTCTTCCCTTTTCATTTGATGAGAAGTCAAAGCAAATGCGGATCAAGCAGTGTAAACACCTTCAAATGACTGATTTCAAATCACGCATTTTGGTCCAATGTAAATGTAATATAAAACTCAAAACTTTTTAAATTGTTTGATGTAATTTTTGAAAAGAACGAACCAAATTAGCCGGTATACATACTTATGTATTTTATAATTTCTATAATCAGTGGTTGAATTTTTTTAAAAGAAAGGATTTTATAGCAGCTTGAAACTTGCACTTCATTATACTAGAATTAAATGGTCTACAAAACTGCATACCAAAATTCTGATTAAATGGTTTGAAATTTTGGTGAAAATAGGCAGAATTTTTCAAATTTTTGTACAAAGTTTCAAATCTGAATTTATATGATTTATATGAATTTATATGGTGTTTTTATTTGTATACCAGCTAGACATTTATAAGAAAAGTAATAAACATTAATAAAAAAAATAAAAGACAAATGCCAAATGCCAAATATCGAAATTCTTTTATTTTGTGTACCACTAAATATATGTATGTACCAGGGATGTTGCGAATGTGGAATTTTAGACATCCGCGGATGCGAATGCGGATGTCAAGTATTATTATACCCGAGCGCATTTGTGCAAAAGGGTATTATAAATTTGTTCACATAACGGTAGTTTGTAACAGGCAAAACGAATCGAGATGGATATAGACAAATATATACATAAATGATCAGAATGAAAGGAGAAATCGATTAGGCGGTGACCGTCCGTCCGTCCGTCCGTCCGTCTGTGCACACGATAACTCGAGTAAAAATTGAGATATCTTAACAAAACTTGGTATGTGTACTTCTTTTGAGAGTTGAACTAATGGTATTGAAAATGGGCAAAATCGGAAGATAACCACGCCCACCTCCCATATAAAGGTAATTTTGAGAAATAGGAAAACTGCCATATTTTAGTAACTACTGAAGCTTATTCACTCAAAACTACTATTTACAATCATTTTTAGGCGAAAAATAAGAATATTACAAATTTTTGGAAAATGGGTATACATACATGTGTATATCTTGGGAACCGCTCCACCCATGATAAAAACATTACAAGGTAAATTCATTCTATCAATTCGTCGGCCATGATTTTTTTCTGACGTTTGCCAACATTTTAAAATCATATAAAATTGAAAATAAAAAAATTAAATTGTTCACAATTGTTGTTGTTTGAGATTGAAAATGAGAATGTGTGTGTGAGTTTGAGTTTTGATTTTAAAATTATATTGTTGGCAAACGTCAGACTGCCTCTCAATGGTTTTACCTTGTTATGTTTTTATCATGGCTCCACCAATTTCTTCCAAACTTGGCACAGTTGTTGGCCTTACAAAACATACCAAACGGCTTAGAATTTGAAAAATCGGATAATTACCACGCCCACATCCCATATAACGGTAATTTGGAGAAATACGAAAGCTTCTATAAATCAGTAAATACTGAAGCTAATTTATTCAAAATTTATTTTTGCAATATTTCTTTAGCAAAAAATAGGCTTATAATAAAATGTTGGAAAATGGGCATGACCCCGCCCACATACATACGTGTATCTCGGTAACTGCTCGATCAATGTGTACCAAACTCGGTATGATTATTGTGGTTGCCACATAAAGGCAAAACGTTGAAAGTTTTGAAATCTGACTAAAATTACGCCCACTTTTATATAACGGTAAATTTCAGAAATGTTTCAAACTTTGATATTTCGAAATTTAAGGAAGCTAATTTTACTTAAAATTGATACTAACAACAATCCCTTGAAAAGAAGTAACATTATTATGGAATTTTGGAAAATGGGCGTGGTGCCGCCCACATATATCTATATAAGTTTATCTCATCGAAGATGTTTGAAATAGACGTAAAACCACCACTGCTTACTATGTAGCGGTAGTTTTCGGAAAGGTGAAAAAACTATATTGAATACTTGCGCCGAGTATTTAGTGTTCGGCCCCGCCCGAACTTAGAATTTTTTACTTGTTAAGAAATAATTTAGGTAAGTAAATTAGGTGATTTAGTTAAATATGAATGGAAAGGTTAGTAATAATGTTTTTTTTTAGTATTTGAATTAAAAAATTGGAACATTGTATTCAATAAAAATTTTTAAAGGGTCGTAAATCAAACCTGCGCCACTAAATAACTACTCGCTCGCTGCGANTTCTGACGTTTGCCAACATTTTAAAATCATATAAAATTGAAAATAAAAAAATTAAATTGTTCACAATTGTTGTTGTTTGAGATTGAAAATGAGAATGTGTGTGTGAGTTTGAGTTTTGATTTTAAAATTATATTGTTGGCAAACGTCAGACTGCCTCTCAATGGTTTTACCTTGTTATGTTTTTATCATGGCTCCACCAATTTCTTCCAAACTTGGCACAGTTGTTGGCCTTACAAAACATACCAAACGGCTTAGAATTTGAAAAATCGGATAATTACCACGCCCACATCCCATATAACGGTAATTTGGAGAAATACGAAAGCTTCTATAAATCAGTAAATACTGAAGCTAATTTATTCAAAATTTATTTTTGCAATATTTCTTTAGCAAAAAATAGGCTTATAATAAAATGTTGGAAAATGGGCATGACCCCGCCCACATACATACGTGTATCTCGGTAACTGCTCGATCAATGTGTACCAAACTCGGTATGATTATTGTGGTTGCCACATAAAGGCAAAACGTTGAAAGTTTTGAAATCTGACTAAAATTACGCCCACTTTTATATAACGGTAAATTTCAGAAATGTTTCAAACTTTGATATTTCGAAATTTAAGGAAGCTAATTTTACTTAAAATTGATACTAACAACAATCCCTTGAAAAGAAGTAACATTATTATGGAATTTTGGAAAATGGGCGTGGTGCCGCCCACATATATCTATATAAGTTTATCTCATCGAAGATGTTTGAAATAGACGTAAAACCACCACTGCTTACTATGTAGCGGTAGTTTTCGGAAAGGTGAAAAAACTATATTGAATACTTGCGCCGAGTATTTAGTGTTCGGCCCCGCCCGAACTTAGAATTTTTTACTTGTTAAGAAATAATTTAGGTAAGTAAATTAGGTGATTTAGTTAAATATGAATGGAAAGGTTAGTAATAATGTTTTTTTTTAGTATTTGAATTAAAAAATTGGAACATTGTATTCAATAAAAATTTTTAAAGGGTCGTAAATCAAACCTGCGCCACTAAATAACTACTCGCTCGCTGCGAAAAACTTGAAACTTGACAAAATTGTAAATTCTTTTCGATTGACGCTGCACCAGTCGAGAGGTCTTTCAGTTATATTTATTTTTTTTTATTGCGGTGCAATAATTCTTCATTGAGAATTGCATCGGGCTGCAAATGTCGGATGTATCCTCCTGACTTCCATCTTCACAATCTTGTGTATGGCAAGATCGTTGTTTAAACACCGTTGTTTTCCAAAGAATTCTTCATTCTAATTCTTTTGGTTGTTTCTGAATTTGGAGAACCTGTAACGTCAACAGCGTTTTTCGATTTTAGTTTTTGTAATTCATTTTTAATCCTTTCTTCTGTGACTGAAATAGCTTTTAAGCAGAAATAACGAAAGAAGGTTACCACCTCTATTTGTATTTTTTATCATTTAATACTAAAGAAATTCATACACCAGACCCAAGGTTTGTTCTATGGTAATTAATGAATATTTTTTATTAAAATATTTTTCAATGGGTTGCTTTGCTCATTTAGACATTTCCTTCATATGGTAGAATTGGATTTGATTAATTTGGATGNTAAAACCACCACTGCTTACTATGTAGCGGTAGTTTTCGGAAAGGTGAAAAAACTATATTGAATACTTGCGCCGAGTATTTAGTGTTCGGCCCCGCCCGAACTTAGAATTTTTTACTTGTTAAGAAATAATTTAGGTAAGTAAATTAGGTGATTTAGTTAAATATGAATGGAAAGGTTAGTAATAATGTTTTTTTTTAGTATTTGAATTAAAAAATTGGAACATTGTATTCAATAAAAATTTTTAAAGGGTCGTAAATCAAACCTGCGCCACTAAATAACTACTCGCTCGCTGCGAAAAACTTGAAACTTGACAAAATTGTAAATTCTTTTCGATTGACGCTGCACCAGTCGAGAGGTCTTTCAGTTATATTTATTTTTTTTTATTGCGGTGCAATAATTCTTCATTGAGAATTGCATCGGGCTGCAAATGTCGGATGTATCCTCCTGACTTCCATCTTCACAATCTTGTGTATGGCAAGATCGTTGTTTAAACACCGTTGTTTTCCAAAGAATTCTTCATTCTAATTCTTTTGGTTGTTTCTGAATTTGGAGAACCTGTAACGTCAACAGCGTTTTTCGATTTTAGTTTTTGTAATTCATTTTTAATCCTTTCTTCTGTGACTGAAATAGCTTTTAAGCAGAAATAACGAAAGAAGGTTACCACCTCTATTTGTATTTTTTATCATTTAATACTAAAGAAATTCATACACCAGACCCAAGGTTTGTTCTATGGTAATTAATGAATATTTTTTATTAAAATATTTTTCAATGGGTTGCTTTGCTCATTTAGACATTTCCTTCATATGGTAGAATTGGATTTGATTAATTTGGATGAGCGGTTTGTTTATTATCCGGAAAAGACTTTTAATTGGGAATAAAAAATATTTGGCCAAGTTTAATTGGTAAAAAAAACTGTTATTTTCGGTTCCTTCAATATTCGCATTCGCAAAAAATCCGCTTTGATTATTGCGAAAGCAAATGCGAATATTAAAATTAATGAGGAAGCTCCGCGGTTGCGAATGCGAATGCGAATATTCGCAACAACCCTGGTACGTACATACTACATACCTAGCATACAATTTCTTATGCATTGAGTACAAAAGAGTGCATTTTAGTACAAAACGAAATGAAATTTTATGTTCCTAAATATTTTGTGCTTAATAATAATAATAATAATAGATTGGCGCTTACACATATGTTAGTGTTTGGCCGAGTTTCTCCTCCGATTTGTGGCGTGCGCCTTGATGTTGTCACACAGAGCGGAGGGACCTACAGTTTTATGCCGACCCCTAACGGCGATCGTATTTTTATGAGAAGCTGTTTTTCATGCCGAGAGACGACCGCTGTTAAGAAAAAACCTTATTTCTACATTTTTTCCGATGTTGCTTTGACCAGGGTTTGAACCCAGGTGTTGCGGAGTGGAAGCGCGCACTGCTTACCACTACACCACAGCGCTTAGCACCATACAAAAAAGTGTTTTATGTAATGAACATATATGCGATATATGTATGTACATATATTTTTACACATACATGTGTATGCAAAGTTGCACAACAAGCCAATTAATTCAATTATTTTATTTTTTCTTTTGTTTTGTTAACTCCGTTAAATTAACTGATTTTAAGAATTAATACATTTATTTGTAATTTTTTATGGAATCGGCATCGGCAGTTTTTTCCCCCATAAGCCGATTAATCGGCATCGGCATCGGTAATTGAAAAAAATTGGTATCGGATAGAAAGGCCCTATCTCACATCGCCGCTGAAATACAAAAAGCAGTAACTAGGTAAAAACCCAAAATTCCTTTTTTGATTTATTATAATGCATTTCATGAAATGATAAGTCCGCACATCATTTCAAGCAATAACAAATTTTAGTTAGTTATGGCTTTTTGGCATTTCAACGACTATATGAGTTAGGGCCTTTCTATATTAAGGTAACGATATATAAAATGGCAGCTGGAGAGATTTCAATAAAATCGTCGGTCCTATAATAGGCTACTTGAAAACTTGCTGGATTGCGGTGGAGTCAAGTTATTCATAAAACTCTTATATATGAACTTATATCGTTCAAATTCAACCCTGCATGATCAAAAATACGGAAATTAATAATGCGTATTTATTTCATGATAAGTAATGCTTCTACGAAGAATGGGCCCAATAAATGACGTTGCAGTCGAAATATTTAGAAACCCCGTATGTCTGGTCTGGTTTGGCTCTATGGCGAATTTAATTCTCAGATGGCCAAATGATGGAAGGGGTTATGTGTGCCACAAAAAGCGCAAATTTATCCTTCATACAGCCTAAATGCGATCTTCCATCTATGCTAGATGAAGTTGCTTGGGGCGGCTGTTATTGCAGTAGTTAGACTTAAAAAAAATCTGTTCATGAATCAAAGGAGTCTCGGGCCATTCTAGGCAAATCACCGAGTCTGGGATGTTTAAAAAAAAGAGTACTTGCCATTTAGGAGGAAGCACGAAATCAAAGACGTAGACAGAACAAACGAGTCTTTTTCTTCTGTGGCAGTCAGGCAGCCCTCAAATCTTTATGGATGCAACTGAAAGCAGGCAACTGGGTTGCTGAATTGGCAACTGCATTTTTGTGGTTTCCGCGGAAATTTTGATTGAGATTATTTATTTCTGCTTTCAACTAATTTACACTCAAGTCTTAGTTGCCGGTTCTTCTTGTAGAACTTAACTATAGTTGCTATTCATAATATACATTTTCATTTCAGTAGCGTTTCCATCCATAATCGACCCACAAATAAATCGTTAGACGCCTCGATATTAACACGAAAGGACAAGGTAGGTATATCAGTGGCTTCATTTGAATGATATTTAAAAGATCCCACGGCCCAATAGCTAATGTACGGGGAAACTCTTTCGTCCTGTAAAACAGCGTTGATTCTGGGCCCGTCTATTTCAGAAAACGCACATCTGTGCTCTTCAGCTTCCTGATAAGGACTTTATTTGGCTTACATGACATAAGACTAGAGGTTGATGCATCAGACCAATGTTTTAGTTGCGTTGCACAGGCGGAAATAAGACCATCGGTACAGCTGAAGACATCGAAAGGGATTAATATTCCATATGGTATCACAGGCTACTATTCGTGGCCTATTTGTAAGGAGGGTTCTGCCCTTTATTCGTGTCAACCTAAACTAAGAATTTTTACTTCACAAACCGTTTTTGCTTTTGAACACTATTTTCGAATTGAACAACGCAAAAGTTCTTAGCAAGCGGGATCAAATCGCCCTTCAAAAATATGAACGTCTCTAGGTGCTTTAGTCAGCTAAGCATCTGGGCCATTGGTGCACCCAAGAAAGGGGCGGTATTGAGTTTTAGGGTTAACCTCCTGCCCCAATGTTTACTAACCACTTCAGTGGTAAGATTTATAACCAAAACTACTGAAAAATTTTGGAAAATAAACATAAATAAAACTGTAATAATTTCATGAAATAACTTTATTTATTTATTTTTTAATTTTTCTTAATTTCTTTAGTCCTTTTGAAAGTTGAGCGCTTTTGTGTATATAAATAGAATGATTTAAGTTTATTTAAATAAAATGTAATTTTTTAAACTTGAAAACGTGTATATTTTTATTACATATGTACAACATATTTATATGTATGTATATTCTTGCACAAAACTAGAGTCGTATTCAAAATTATTTCAGCAAAGATAAAAAAAAAACACTTTTTTCCAACAATTTATTTATTTCTGGAATGTGTGCAGCGTGCCAATGCAGAAAGAGAAAAATTTTAAACATCTGTGGTCTACTTCACGTTAAAAGGAAAGCTGAGCACAGTTTTCGACAAAGCGACTTCTTTGGCAAGCCTGTCGGCGTCCTCATTGTCTCTTACCTAGAAATGCTGTAATAGCCGGCAGCTTACAGAATTTATTAGGATAGAGCTCCGCTGCATCTACGCCCTTGTCTACCTTCGACCCGTCTGTATAAACTTTCACCGCGTGAGCACTCCTCATGCCGTCACGCCAGCCTTCGGCTCCGAGATTCGTCTCAAACTCCAGATCCAGGAGCATGTCGTCCATCAGTTGCGGACATAGAAAATATTAATTTTGTTAGCAGTGCGACTACTCCTTGACAATACATATCTACTATTGACATACTTTCTTTCAAATGCATTAAGCCAGATATTCGATGTTGGTTTAAAAACATTTGGGAAGTCACAACACCTCTAACAACATCCCCTGCCCCTCCCCTGGTTACGGCCCTGCACAGAATATCAAGGAAATGCCTCTGCTGTCTTTATGATTTTGTAATTATGAACACACTTGCGCATAGAAATGCGGCAATCAATTATGTACATTCAACATTCCTCTAAACATTTCCACCAATCCTCCTCATCCTCATCCTCGCCAAGCCACAGCTCCAACATCATTGGCTCGGAATGTTGTGCCACAAATGACACCTCAAATCCAAACTCTGGTGCTCTTATTATTGCCAATGCCGTTTACTTCATTTGCAAG